AATTTCATTCTATGGTATATACACATTTTAATGTGTTGATGTATGCATGAGTGTGTAGGAAGGGGTGTTTGTAATGGATTGAAGTAAAAACTTAATAAATAATCAGAACAAGTCTGCCTAGCCAACCTATATACTAGACAGCAAAGACTTTGCTATACAGGATAAACCATATGGACATTAGACATAAGTTACAACTTTAATATATTGACTGATTATCTTAAATGCTGTGTAGTTTGAAAATTAGATTCACCGGTTAAATCGGATTTAAAATTTGATGGTTTGCAGTTTCTTTCACAAGAAGTCCTATAAACACTGAGATCTGACAATTCTGAAACTAGACCATTCTTGGACAACCTTGACACTAAAGTTTCGCAACGCTTTGGCCCTCAGCTTTACCTCACCAACACTCTCATTCTTTTTTTGTAGTTCTAGACATATTCATTTGAAATATGCAACGCGTTTTTTTAGCTCAAGTTTTATAAGAGTAATATGGCAAAAGTCTGCTCGAGTTTTGAGTGAAAGCGTGCACATCTTGGTTTGCAGTGTAAATTAGAGTTTCTTTCAAAAAAAAACTATTTGAATTTATGAAACAAATTTTGAAAGTGAGGTTCTTCGCAGACACCTTTAGGATTAGGCAAATAGAGTTCTACAGTTCATTTTGCTTAATGTCGTGACTGCTGTACATGAATTGGCATGATGATTCAATGATAAAACTATTTATAGATGTATGATGGAAAAATACATCATTAAAGAATAAGAGCTTACTTAACTACCGTCTACTGTTTGCTATTAAACAAACCAGCTCGAAAAGTCTAGAATTTATCAAAAACTTGGATTTTTCGAAATTTATGCTTAAAATGTCCAATATCCATTGATGCGGATCTATAATTTACTATTTTTGAAGATTTTATTTAATACAATATTTGGACACCATGCTTACCTTATCTCAAAATTGTTTAAGTTTTGCTTAAAAGGAGTTGAGTTTTTGCCACAAACTCTGATTTTCTAATCTCTATATCTTTGTAACCCAATGTCGTAGACCTTAGATATTTCAAACTATTAATACTTAAAAATAAAATAAGCTAAGTTTGAAATATCAAAGGTTTGCATCATCAGGTTGCAAAGATATTGGGATCAGAAGATTTGAGTTTGTGGCAAAAACTCAATTCCTTTCAATATTTTTAGAACTTTTCCTTAAATGACTTACAATTTGAAACAGTCTCTAAGAGCATGTTTGTTCAATTTTTCCTTTTTCATTTGTTTGTAAATCTATCATGTCTAGTATAAACCTATGATGCTGTAAATCCATCATGTCTAGTATAAACCTATGATGCTATAAATCCATCATGTCTAGTATACCTGTGATGCTTTAAATCTATCATGTCTAGTATAAACCTGTGATGATGTAAATCCATCATGCCTAGTATAAACCTGTGATGCTGTAAATCTATCATGTCTAGTATAAACCTGTGATGATGTAAATCCATCATGTCTAGTATAAACCTGTGATGCTGTAAATCCATCATGTATAGTATAAACCTATGATGCTGTAAATCTATCATGTCTAGTGTAAACCTATGATGCTGTAAATCCATCATGTCTAGTATAAACCTGTGATGCTGTAAATCCATCATGTCTAGTATAAACCTATGATGCTGTAAATCCATCATGTCTAGTATAAACCTGTGATGCTGTAAATCTATCATGTCTAGTATAAACCTATGATGCTGTAAATCCATCATGTCTAGTATAAACCTGTGATGCTGTGTAAATCTATCATGTCTAGTATAAACCTATGATGCTATAAATCCATCATGTCTAGTATAAACCTGTGATGCTGTAAATCTATCATGTCTAGTATAAACCTATGATGCTGTAAATCCATCATGTCTAGTATAAACCTATGATGCTATAAATCCATCATGTCTAGTATAAACCTATGATGCTATAAATCCATCATGTCTAGTATAAACCTGTGATGCTGTAAATCTTTCATGTCTAGTATAAACCTGTGATGCTGTAAATCCATCATGTCTAGTATAAACCTGTGATGCTGTAAATCCATCATGTCTAGTATAAACCTGTGATGCTGTAAATCTATCATGTCTAGTATAAACCTATGATGCTGTACATCTATCATGTCTAGTATAAACCTATGATGCTGTAAATCTATATCCTGAAATTAACCCTGGAATCGCTACCATACACCCGTCTGTGAAATAAACGCCAGGGGCATCTCTATATCCAGGAAGTTTTGCCTCGAGTTGAATTCAAACCGAGGTGGTTACTTCATTGTAGCTATGTTGAAGACAACCTAGGAAATCATTTTTATTAAAAAAAAAATTGCTAATTTTATAGTAATGAATATAATAAATAAAAATTCACATCACTATTATTTATTTACCTTTAAAAGGCTGTAAAAAACATTTTTTACAAATAAAACAAAAAATGTGGCGTGAAAATAGTCAATTGGTCAAAATCTAATTTGCAGGCTGGGGTTTCAAATAGTGGAAGACGTGGTAATTTTTTAGGGATGGATGTGCTGTGTTTACTTGAGTAAAACTTATTCCCGCTAGATCATTAAAATTAAGCAATTTTTCCTTAAGCGTTTCAAATTTAAGGATATTTGTTCATTAAAGCGTATTAGCTCTGATATTTTACTATATTATTTGGAATGAGCCGCCAAACGTTAAGAAGAGGAGAGGAACAGAATAAATGTGAGGACTATGTGAACCTCGCATATATAAACTAAGCATTATTCGGAAGATCTCTAGTGTATTTGATAATATGTATGCCGATCATTTCGTTAGGATTGACGTTAGTAACGTGAGAACCAGAGAACTACTAAATACACATTTTAGAAATGTTTAAAAAGTTTTTCTACTCTGAAGATTCAGATATAGATGATACCTGTTATACAATCTACCTACACCCAATATTTGAATTGGAATTATATTGAACAGAGTTGAAAAGGTGCATCACAGGTCAGAGTTTAAAAATAATTTAAGCTTCGAGTTTAAAATTGTATCTAAACTTTCAACCTTGAATTTTACATTAAGCACACATAATATTTCTGTTTACAGAAAACACTTCAGTTTTACCCCAAAAACATTATTTTATTATTTCATGCATCGAGAATGTTTAAAGAAACACTATTTCAAAATAATAATTATCAATGAACAATTATAAAACACCCATCGGCCATCACACGTCCTTTCCATGGGAGTCTGTCAGCACTAAGTTTAGTAATAATTTGGAACCACAATTCGTGAAGAAATTTTTATTTTAGCACTCTAGGTGACTCAATATCTAGGTGACTTAAAAAGCAATTGTTACTTAAAATGTATATCTTAAACTGAAAAGTGTCAATTCATTTTTCACTTTTCAAAATTTAAACATAAATAATGTACACCGACGAGTTGAGAAAGAAGAGTTTAGAATGAAGTTGAGCAATATTTTATAAGAAGCAGTATTTATATTATAGGGACCAAAAAATGTTCACAGCTATGTTTAAATCGAAGAAAAGATCATAAGAAAACTTGAAATATAAAGCATTTTTACATTATTTCTATTAATCCTATAATTAATGGTATGTTGGTTTCTTACACAACAAAAATCTTTTTCAAGATTTTTATCAAGGAAACAAATACAATTTTATTATTATTATAAAGATTTATTCACACACAAAGATATAAATACATATATAAATGGTGTAGTTAAAATTTGTTTAAATAAATTTTTTGAAAATACAGGTTTCCAAAAGAAAAGAGAAAAAAATATGCAAAATTATGCACAAACAGAAAACAATGATTTTTACTCACTACATAACATATTTATCATTTCAGTTATTACGTAATCATCGAATCCTTCAACATATAAATTATTCATTCTTGTACTTAAAAGTTCTTGTAAAACCGGAACTTTCCATTCATGTTCCAATGGGACATCAAAATATTTGTTTCTTAACTAACATTTTACTAAGATTGGAAGGATTTACAGAACAATCATCCATATTGAGTTGTATAAATGTTGAATAAGCTTATGTTAATTATTTATTATTCATTTCTCTAGGTCAATATATGCAGAATACTTGTTGTATACAAGTTTAAGGCAAAGCCTAGAGCAATTCAGTTCCTATATACCTACAGATATCAGATATTTTAAAATCTTCAATTGTTCTGAAAGATAAATCATCCGCCTATATGCATGAAGCTGCATATATATTTTTCTTTAAAGTGTACAAATGCAATGAAATTCAGTCTTTGCCACAAAGCTCAAATGTTTTAAGCCCTACATCTTTGCAACCTGATGGTTTGTTAAACTAGATTATTTGATTTTACAGAATTGATAGTTTAAAATATTAAAAGATATATGGATTAGGAAATGAAATTTGTGACAAAGACTTAATTTATTGAAGTAGTAGTTGAACTACATAAGTTGAACCACTTATTCTGATCTTGAACTGGAGTAAAGATAAAGAAGTAATTTAACATGATCTACGTAATCAAAATACTTCTCGTTATTCATTGCACTTGGTCCCTGGATGAACATATTAATATATAATTGTCCGTCAAAATGTTAACAATTTTATGATTGAAGCTTTTTAATAAAGTATTTACCCAATGTTTCTGAATACAATTTTAGAAATTCTGAAACGTGCATTTTTATATTGAATGTTTGTCAAATATGTTGTAACCAACTATATACGGTTCCACGTTCAATCAAAATGTCAAGCTGAAAACTAGAATCCTGAGGAGACAAAACAGAATATGCGACTTAACTGCTTTTTGTAATAGAACTAGAAATTCGGGTTATATAATTGGAATTTGGAATTGGAAATAGATTTCCACACACTTATATCTCCTGTTTTTTCTAAACATTATAATTTAAGAACATATTAAGAACTATTATGTTTTCCCAACCTCATCTAACGATGTAGTTCATCTACTTTTTATTAACTATTTAACTATTATTTAACTGGTTCATACTTTTAAAAAAAATTTATATAATTTTAATTTATTCTATCAATAATAAATAAATAATATTAGATGTATAGTTTAGAACAGATGAATAAAAAAGGAAAAACTAGGACGCTTTATTTGGATAAAGCAATTTTTAATTCTTTTTTATTGATCTTTAAACAAGGAAAATGAGAAAGTGTTAAATATAGAATCTACGACTAGAAATTACATTACAAAGATTTGAATTTTTAGGTTTCTTGAGAAATGGAACTTTCATCTATCTTCCTCGTGCCGGACCATCCACACAGTTGACACTACAACAGGATTAAATTAATCTTAAACAATTTAATTTAAAGGGGATGGTGGGCACACTTCCCCTCAAATAAGACAAATTTTTCAAAAGGCCCCATGCCTTTATTTTTGAAGTTATATTCTTGATATTTTGCATGAAATTAACTCTATAGGAATGCATTTTCAAAATGTCAAAAATAAAAAATACAACAACAATTTCACCCCACTTTTCGCTGTTTTTTTTAAATATAGGTTTTCCTGATTTTAAGTACAAAATGGGCCTGAATTATGCTAGATAATATCCCTTCTGATTTTTTTTGTTGAATTATTGTTTTTTTGTTTATTTTCTCCTTCTTTTCCTTCCCGTCATTTTCCCTTGAATTGAATTTGAGGTCCGTTCTTTATTTTTGAAGTTTTTCTGTTCTGATGACGGGGCTGGAATATTTTAGTGCTTTTCTATATAAAATATCCTGTCAGTCCAATTAATGAACCTGTTAACCATTTTAGCAACCAAAACAAAACACTAAAATACTAAAACATTCCAACATCGGTAGACTGAAGGGAATTCGATTATGACAATAATACAATGAATTAAGAAAGTATATGCTTTAAGTCCCTGTTTGAAGGGCAAAAATAACATCTCAGACCATAATGGAGTTACATATTAGACACATGTAACAAAGGCAAAAAATTTGAGATTTAAAAAATAGAAAAATCTGCCAAAAATGAAAGTTTAAGATTTTTATGATTTTCAATAACTTATTCCAGACCTAAATAATATTCCAGTTTCCCTGCAAAATCTAAAATGATTATCCTGAAAAATAAAGGTGGTATACCCCTTTTTAAGATTTTTTTCTATTGGAGGAAATCTTTTTTTTCATTTGGAGCAATTTTTACAGCAAAATGATTTTTTTGTCTTGCTTTAATGATTTTCGATGCGCATACGTTTTTAAATAAAAAACCGGAAAAACTTTTTTGCGTATTTTTCTTTTTAGTCCAAAAAGTTAATCACAATTATGATCCGAATCTAAAGTTTGAACAGAAAAAACTTCAAAAATAAAGATAGGACCTCAAATTCAATTTCCATGGGAAAAATGGCGAGAAAGAAAAAAATGAAAAAATAAACAAAAAAATATAATTCATCAAAAAAACCGGAGTACCTAAAATCAGGAAAACCTATATTTTTTCAAAAACCGCGAAAATGAGGGAAGAATGTTGTTGTATTTTTTTATTTTTTTTTTTTTGTGATCCTAGAGTTAATCACTAATCTGACCTTCGTGCAAAATCGCAAGAAAATAGCTTTAAAAATGAAATTTAGTAAAAACCGATTTTGTCGTGTAAATTTGTATTTTTACCATGATGCCAAACAAAACCTTAATAGTTAAACCATATTTACTTGCAGATAGAAATCAAAGGTTTTATTACAATTACACAATTCACAATCTAACATTTAACATTGCTGATATATTGTGGCTTGTGGTAGACGCTATTAAGGTCATTATTATACAAAAAACAAAGTATTTAGTTATGTAAAACAAATTATCTATTTTTAACAATTTTAGAATTTTTCTAAACATCCAATCTACTTTACTTCCCACTCAAATGTACAACTTCTTTAATAAAAGTAGTGAAACGATATTGTGAATTTGAGAACATGCATAAATTATTTAAAATACACAGCAGGTACATTATGTACAACATTTTAGGCAATCTGGATTCTAGACCATCTCGTTCATTCATTTGTTAAAAATATATAGACACGTACGCGGTAACGTAAGGTTTTGTCAATTAATTTAATTAAAATTTTCAATATACCTAAACATTCGCTCCATCTGATTCCTGCCGAGTTCTGGTTCCTCGATAAAATGTTCGAAATCTATTGGTTCCAGATCTATCCCCTTAACAGTATATTTCAATCAATTTCCTTAAACATATAGATACATAAAACAGCCTAAGCTGAGGAGTAGTGAGATTTTGCAAATGAGTTGTTTTTACCGAGATGATGGAACGGAAATAATTATACACAAATCCTGAACTTGGGACCTTGAATTCATGTCAGATACGTTGACGAAAAACCTTGTTTACAGATTTAATAAGAGTTAAGTACAGCTCCATTGCACGACCCTATTTACCACTGAACCCATATCATTAAAGAGACATTTATCTTAATTGATTTAATGATTATTATACGGAGAATTATTTTGTTACGACAAAGAGATGGAATCATATACGTGACTCTGTTATTTAAAAAATGACAAGAAATAAATTCAGGGGAATTAATTTAGATTGTTAATTTTACTTCGTAACCTTCAACTTCATGATAATTTCACACAAGCTTAAAAGTTAAGGAAAAATCTAAACGGAACTGATTTTTTGTCACAAATTCAAATTATATAATCTCTATATCTTTTAAACCTGATGGTCAAAACGATTTGCTTTAACATAATTCATAGTTTGAAATGTCATTCGGTTGTAAAGATATAGTGATTTGAAACCCTTTGTTGTGGAAAGAACTCATTTTCTTTTGAAATCCAGCTGAAAATCGAAATTAATTTTTTTTCTAAAACAGAAAAATTCAAACTATTCTTTGGTTTGTATGAGAAATATATTCAGTCCTAATGGCATTTAGCTTTATAAGAAACTCCTGATAAGGTTCTGATAAATCATTTAACTAAATTGGATTCATTGAGAAAAGAATGACCTATTGCATAGGAAAAAATACATCTTTATAAGATTTAGTTATTCTACTGTACTGATGAAATACTCAACGGCGAATTAAATGTACTGCATAGATTAAATGTACTGCATAGATTAAATGTACTGCATAGATTAAATGTACTGCATGGATTAAATGTACTGCTATAGATTTTCGGCAAATTTTTTATTTGTGTTTTTTTCAACATTAGTGTATTCTATACCTCTTCAAAGCCCATATTGGTATTGTTGAGTTCTCGTCTATCTCTATCATCTATGCTGGCGTAGTTCACCTGATATAATTTTAAATGTCAAGTGCAACGTTTCATTTTAACATTTTACCCTCTTTGTTGTATAATGGCTGAAAGCACCAAACAGCAAAGCTATTAAAACAGTTTTTTAGGCAAAATATACATAAACTAATAATTATTTTTTAAATTCATTTTTATTAGGTAACCCACTTCCATTTCAAATACTATCAAAATTTGTAAAGCTACTAAACTTACCACATTTATGGCAAAGCCACTAAAAATATTACAATACTACGGCGAATCAATATCGTTTTGGAGATAAAGCAGTAAATTTACTAAAATAACTTGATATTGTGGAAAAGCTACTACAGTCACCTGATACTGTAGTGAAGCTACTATAGTGACCAGATACTGTGGGTTACTACAGTAATCTGATACTGTAGTTAAGCTACTACAGTAATCAGATACTGTGGTGAAGCTTCTATAGTCACCTAATACTGTGGTGAAGATACTACAGCTACTTGATATTGTAGTGAAGTTAATACAGTTACCCGATACTTGTTCTGAAGCTAATAGAGTTACATGTTCCTGTGGTGAAGCTACTAAAGTTACATGATACCCTGCTGGAGCTACTACAGTAACCAGATACTGTGGTGAAGCTATGCAGTAACCAGATACTGTGGTGAAGCTACTACACTTACCTGATACTGCGGTGAAGCTACTACACTAACCTGATACTGCGGTGAAGCTACTACACTAACCTGATACTGTGGTGAAGCTACTGCACTAACCTGATACTGCAGTGAAGCTACTACACTAACCTGATACTGCGGTGAAGCCACTACACTAACCTGATACTGCGGTGAAGCTAATAAAATAACCTGATACTTCGGTGAAGCTACTACACTAACCTGATACTACGATAAAGCTACTACACTAACCTGATACTGTGGTGAAGCTACTACACTAACCTGATACTGCGGTGAAGCTAATAAAATAACCTGATACTGCGATGAAGCCACTACACTAACCTGATACTGCGGTGAAGCTAATAAAATAACCTGATACTTCGGTGAAGCTACTACACTAACCTGATACTGCAGTGAAGCCACTACACTAACCTGATACTGCGGTGAAGCCACTACACTAACCTGATACTGCAGTGAAGCCACTACACTAACCTGATACTGTGGTAAAGCCACTACACTAACCTGATACTGGGGTGAAGCCACTACAGTTTCTATTGGACGAATGACATGTCTCTCTATCTCAGGAGTTGATGCTTTACTAGAGACCACTGTAGAGTTAGTTCCAGCCTCACTAGATTAAAAAAAGATTTATATTTTGAAACATGTTAGCTGAAAGATTTATAGATTTGTACATGGTCCAATAATGCCATTAATACGTAAAACATTTACATACATCTCTTGCTTTAAAATGTGTAATATGTGTCCGGGGTGTGAATACATGGCATTTAAAAGTTAATTTAAATGAAACATTATTTTGGTCAAGATTAACCTATTGTTCAAATATTTGTGTGAACAATAAATTTAAAGATTCTGTGATTAATTCATTAAACTAGATAATAATTTATGCACCGTGAAGTTTAAGAATATTCATATTTTGATATAAAATATGCTTCATGATTTATACAACCTATACCAGGAAATGAACCAGCAAAAATTCCCACAAACTTATATATTTTAAAGAAGGATGTTTTTATGCTTCTAAGTAATACTTAAAAAAGAATATTTCAGACTAAACTAAATGGGGCTTCAAAAAATGAAGATGATATTCTCAATATCTGATGAATTACCAAAATTGCTATAATTGAAAGAATGTATATTTGTCGATTTTTTTTTCATCTATAAAGCTGAAATATGAGAATGTATATATTTTATTGTGCCAGCTAAAGCACAAAATCGTGAGGCATGCAGTTGATTTGTTGGAACCATTTACTCATTTCACAATTTATCTCTCTACAGTTGTCAGTATAATAACAAATTATAAAAAAATATAATCCGTTTTCAAATACAATAACAAATTATAAAAAAATATAATCCGTTTTCAAATACAATAACAAATTATAAAAAAACTACAGCATACTATCGAGTAGAGGGAGGATAAAAATTCATGTATTTCTTTAAATCACATGTTTTTATTGTTATTTCTCTTTCAACAACTTTTTTTTGGGTTTCAAAAACGTAATTTATTTTCTTATCTTGCCATTTTGCAACAAAACTGAAAATAAAACATCCTTTCAGACTTAACCAACAAAATGTTAGATTTAAAAAAGGAAATTTGTGAAAACTATTAACGATTTTCTACACTTTTTCGATCTTTGATTAAAGATATATATTTCCTCAAAATTCTAAGATTAGTGCAGGGTCCTATTGCTTTCATAAATATTACCTTGCAGGGGATGTTTTCCAGTTTTTCTCAGCATCAGCAATTATCTGGGTGCACTCCAACCTCAGCAGTAGAAACATCGTCACTATAGCCAGCAGTGTAGAGATTGCATCAGTTATAATAAACTAAACAAACACTCATTATTGTTGTGACCTGAAGTTACTTGGTGAATAGAAACTACAATGAATTTCTAGGCATTTTTCGGAAGTAAGTCAGTCATTATGGTGAATAAAAAAACCTTTTTTTCTGAGCCAGGAAAAAATTATAACGAGAGGTAGTTGAACTATGTCTGTTTAGATGATCTACTTCTTCAGTATAGACATAGTTCAATTAAACATACCTAAGTGGTTTAACTTAATTTTGCTATTCATAAAATTATACTTTTGACATGGCCATTGAGCTAGACACGTTAAAAAAATAATTAAATAATTCAAAAATACGCATTGTAAAATATTCATAGCTTAAATACAGAATTTTGGATTAAGTAAAATTTGGTATTTTGCCGAGAATGAGCTCAAATTTTATGTTGGCTTGTACTGAATTTAATTATGAAGATTGATGGTTCGCATATATCATATAATTAATATTCAGATGTTCAAGTACAAAACAGATGTGAGTTTGCTGAAAAGTGCATACAAATATGGTTTTAATAAACACTAAATGATAAATAGCCTACAGACAACCAGTGCCTCAGAGATTCTATAGATACAACCTCATTACTCACAATTCGTAAAATATTATTCATTCCTTGAAATTCAGGATGGTTAGTAGCGAAAAGTCTTCTAGTATTTTAGGTGCTTAAAAGTATGCAACAAATGATTTAGATACCATCTGCATTTTGTATGCTGAATTATAAACATTTATCAAAGAATATTGATATTCATACTTTAATCTGTTAGGCAACATCGACTGTGAATGTTTTATTATTTAAGTATGACTTATCACAATATTATTAACTGTTTTCGTGATTTAAGGATGATTTAAAAACGATTAGGTTTATCTATATTTCAAATATCTAGAGGTTCTTTAAAAAACATTATAAAACTAGGCCTAATCATGAAAAATAGTTAACATTTAATATCCTTTAAAGTGTAAAATTTTATGAATTCATTTTCAAAACCTTTCTCAAACAGAATATTTTAAAGTTGTTCCAAATAGACATAGATCCAAATTGCTCTAAAAAAAACCCGGATCGATTTTAAAGTGTCGCAACTCATTAGTCTTTTAACCTCACTAACTCATGTACTTGACATTAAAAGATTTTAGAACTATTAAAAAATTTGTTCTAGTTTTAGTATTTATTAAGTTATTGGCTTAATCCTCATTGATTTTTTGCGCGAGATCTTGTAACTTTTGGATTTCTGTGTTAGTGTATCACGGATTTCAAATAGCAGATACTCAACACATCTTCCTAAGTAGAGATCAATATTCAATACGAACCAGCACATTGCGTAATCTGAACATATGTCTTCTATCCTCAAGACAGATTCCAACAAATTGCGTCAATTAATATGATTATGAAGCGCGTCCAGTTACTTTAAGATACATAAATTCCCGTCAAATCTGCTGGGAAAAATTAAAAAAGGGCCATTAGTTTGATATATTAGCCACGTATTTACTTGCGTAAATATAGATTATACACACATGCGCTTGGTGCAGGAAATGTGTAACCATAAATACTTCATCTATTACCCAAGTTCATGCTTAGCAATGGGCATCATTGATCAGACAAGATGATGAACTCCCTCAATACAAAATAGGAAAATATTTCTTAAATAAAATGTATAAGAATAGGAAGGCGGAAATGATAAACCTAAATTTGCCCCAAACTATAATCTATGGCCATATACTAGATGCAAATATAATGCAACAGGGTAAAAGATCAAAATAGAATGGAAAAACTTTAATCACAAATATGAAGAGGTAAAGACGAAAAATATGAAAAAAAACGTTTATTCAAAAGTGACCAAATATCTAAACTTTTTAATAAAATGTAAAATAAGTCATGTCAACTGCGGCGAAATAAGAGAGATATTTTCGTTTCAAGGAATTGAGGTATGAAAGAAGAGGAAAGAATATCATATATATATAAGTTTACAAAATCAAAAAGGTAGTTTGTCAATAGCGGAAGAGGAATAAGTGTGAGAATATAAAGAAATGCAAATAATTCCTGGTTCAGTCATCCTTTACTGTGCTTAAGACAGAACCTTGATCAACCAGCATTCTTCTCCTTCTTGTGTATAACATATGATTGATTGATTTATAACAACAGTGTCATGACTTTGATTGATATCTGAGACAAGATATAAAATAAGAATATTGTGTATTGTATAAAGATAGTTATACGTTACGTTATATACATTTAATATTTACATCATTATGAAACATAATGTTGGTTCAATAAAACTTCAGTTTTTGTTTTGCATAATTTTACTTTTCTTCTATTTATATTAAATATATTAATTAAAAAGAAAAGTAGCTAATTCGAAATATTGTGTAATTGTATAAATAAACTTTGAAAAACTGAGACTGCTCTGGTTAATTGCTATATAGATAATATATTATACATATATAGATATCATATAGCATTACAAACAAATACAATGTATTTGTGAGTGTAATGTTATAGGCACGCGCATTAGGGAAATTGAACATATATTTATTAAGAATTGGTTGTTTTTTATGAAAAGCAACAGTAAAATTAAATATCTTCGACGTCTTGGTCCTAGTAATGTATACATGAATCCTTCAAACATCATACATAAATGTTTCAAGAATAAAAAATTAGCGGCTGTCACTAGCTCAGCAACCCTTTTCAGCGGGGTTAAGGTTCAGAATAAAACATTGCAGGATTATTTATTCTTATCATAGGCTTCGGATTTAGAGCTTTGTTTAATATTAGAGCACTAACAGATTTTTGTATTTATTTTATAGATGTTAAAAGATGTTAAATAAGGACACTTTTTTCATTGTTTCTGATGCATTAAATTCACAATTTACTTTTTATAAAATTTAAATGTATTAATATTTATAACAATTTTATTTACATTTTATTGAATAACAAGGATATGTTCATCTACTATCCTATACGAATGTTTAAAAGTTACCGTCCGTTTGAAATCAGATACTGAACTTTTTTAATGTAGGATCACATGAGACAAGGTAGACAGTTCTTTTAAAGAGCCAAGTTCTTATGAAATTTGTCCGGATTTTGAAACACCGACACATTAAACGAATGAACTGAGATATAATTGGAGGTTAGATTGTATAATGTTTACCCTTGATATCAATTTTAGAGATTATTGAACAGATGATTATCTATGAGACATAAGAGGGAAGTCACAGCAGGATATAATTAAGGAAATCGTTAGAGAATACCCCATACAATTGGTGTAATATATATTATAAATCCTTCTATATTAAATCTTGAATTTAACATCAGCGGAATTAAGACTGTCATATTTTTACAAAGAATAATTTTTGGTTATTTTATAAACGCAATTCATTGGTTTGCAGAATTAACTTCAACAAATATATTTTATTTTTAGATAATTCAAAGAGAGTTAATTGTTTAACGTAGTAAATGTTACATTTTTTTAGTTATCTTTTATATGCATATAACAAACTATATATATTTTTATAGCATTACTTTTTTGAGCATGAAAATGGACAACTTTCATATGCACAGACCCTTTTGATAACCAAGCTATCCACATATGTATAAGATAAGTATAGCTTCCAGGGCGCTTTCTGTCCATCTTCTATTTCAACTTTTAATTGATGATGATCTTTTATTAAATTTTTTTTGTGCATTTGAAAATCGAAATTTTTTAAAGACAATTTTTTTTAGTTCCAACCATCCCTAACCCTTTCATGGGATAATGTGAGGTCCCACAAAAAAATGGGACCCAATTGGTTCAGCCGTTTTGACGTTTATGGTTTACAAACAAACACACAGAAAGACAAGCAAAGTATATATAAATGTCCTAGTCATAGGGTATCATGCGTGTTCCCCCATTGTAGTTTTTTTTGTCCTAGCACTCTCATTTTTGACACTATCACCGTGAAATTTTGTGACTTTTAATGAATAGTAATTTAAAGAATTGTTTGTTGAAAAAGTATTTTTTTTATTTGTAGGGTAAGGTAAAGGGCAGAAAAAAAGTCCGGTATGTAAAAAAAATGAAATAGCCAATAACATTTGTGTGACAAAAGCTACAGATCTAAAAACTTTATTTTTAAAAATATTTTTTCCATTTTTTACCCTTTTTTAGTCATTTTTTTCCATCCTCCGTAGCGCTCAAACTATTAAAGTTAACGGTCTAATATTTTTTTCTTTGAGTAGGCCATGAAAAATTGGACTATGAACATGCATTTCAACCTTATACCTATTCTCTAAGGATTTTTTCTAAAGGGGGGGGGGTCGCCTGACGCCCCCCCCAGCCTTTATAGGGATAAGCACTTATGACAAGCTCTTGAATAGGCCAATTCAAATTTGTCAAATAAGCAAAAACATGTATTTATCTGATAATTACATCTTTTGCATTTAGTTTGGACATTTTGCAAAGAACAGCAGTAACTGTAAATTCATTCAAAAGTTTTCATATCATCTCATTGTGAATTGCTGCACAAAAAAAATCAATGCACAACTGCGCTAAAAATGTTGCAAAAACTGATTGAAAATAATCTCAGCAGCTTTTCAAAAACATATAACTTTTTAATGTTGACTCAACAAAAGAACTGTTAGTTGAAGTGCATATTGTGTTGTAAAAAAGCTATGGATCATCAAGATTGAACTATTTTTAGTGGGATTAGAAGCAAATTTAATCTAGGAGATAAAACATGCCTATTTCAGGCCGTAGACCTGGACCTTCAGGCAGTCGTAAAAAAATTAAATTTTCATACTGAGATTTAGAAAAAACATATTTCGAAAAAGTCAAGAAATTTTAGCTTTCTAACCCTTATAGTTTTTAAGCAATATAAAAAAACAGCAAGGAATATGATTAAGATCGCACAAAAATGTAACATAAATACAACATAAAATAAATATCAGCTATTTATAAAAAAAATATATATCAAATACCTCTAGAGGATAGTCGCTTGGTATAAGAAGAATATGTAGCACTGTAGTAGCAGGTAGGTAACCAGCTAGCAGACACGAGGCGTTGGGGAGAACCATCTAGAAATAGAATGCTGAAAACGTCACGTTGATGAAATAACATTTTTGCATCATGTCGGCCGTGTTTGAATATTATTGAGTTCCTGATATACTACATTTATTTTTCTAATCCCCTTAACCTTGATCCTTTTCTTTATGTGTTATATTGTTCATCTCCTTATTTTGTAAATTATCCCGACTCATAAAACTGTTCAGCCCGTGGCTAAATATTTAATTGTTAATTACTAAACTAATTAAAAACTAATTATGAAACCTATTTCTAAATGAGGAATAGAAAATTGCTTTAGCACCGCATCCGTTTAAATTTGATACATTTAATACAAAAGAGTATAGATATTTAATTACAGGTTTATCTATTATCTAATACTGATAGTTTCCAGTTTTAGTTTTATGGAGGTTCAGTGAGATACACTATGAAAAAGATTGGGGAACGTCACCAAACCTTTTTTATTAACTTTTTGTTAAAATTCTAAAATAAACACTAGGAATTTCGAAGCGCTCTTTATCCTAATAGTATGATACAGATGGGACCCATTTAACAGCCGAAAACGACGACTCATAAACTTGAAACAAAATGCATTGTGCAGTGTGTACAGACCCATTTATATTTAAAAGTTGATATTCAAGCTACAAACTATAAGAATTAGAGAAATTATTTGCTTAGTTACAACATCAATTACACATATAAATGCTAAGATAATTAATAGCTGATAAATTAAACAATGAACAACTTAATTTATCCTTTTTAAATATGTTTCTTGTTCTGTTTACACATGTAAACATTCAAACACATATCATACAAATGCAGGAAGTAAGTTTTTTTTCTATTGTTTATAAACCATATTGTATTTTATCATGTATGCATGTTTTGTTAAAACACTGCTCAATGATATGAAGCCTACATTCCCACCTTCCCCCTCCCCCCTCAACCAATCTTACATAAACTCTTTCATTTCTCTCTATTCCGTCTTGGTTTTATCATGGGAATTATGTGTCGTTTTACATACTTCCTCGTACAATTACACAAATTCTAAAATTTGAAATGGGAATCGAATCATAAGATTATATAGATATTGAAGAAAACTGAACTCTTATATTAGATAATTAAAGGAACTTAAGAACTAAATAAACTAAAGGATTTATAGTAACTAGAGGAACTAAAGGAAATAAAGGAACTAAAGGAACTAAAGGAACTTAAAATCTAAATAAACTAAAGGATTTGTAGAAACTAGAGGAACTAAAGGAACTAAAGGAACTAAAGGAACTAAAGGAACTAAAGGAACTAAAGGAACTTACGAACTAAATAAACTAAAGGATTTATAGTAACTAAAGGAACTAAAGGAACTAAAGGAACTGGAGAAACTAGAGGAACTAAAGGAACTGAAGGAACTAAAGGAACTAAAAGAACTAAAGAAACTAAAGGAACTGGAGAAAACTAGAGGAACTAGAGGAACTAAATGAACTGAAGGAACTAAAGGAACTAATTAGGAACTAAAGGAACTAATTAGGAACTGAAGGAACTAAAGGAACTAAAGGAACTAACGTTTATTTAAAATAAAATTAATAAAAGGAAGAAGGGTGCGAAGAACCTATAGACCTCTGTAAACTTTTAGGGATAGGCATTAGCTAGCTTCGTTTTACAACAAATTTTAGCATTTTTAGAGTTTTAAGGTTTTACGATAAAAGTAGAAGCTTCAATCATTTAAAAAAAATATATTTTGTAGAAGTTTGCAAATTTGTTATCCTATGTGAAAACGAACCAAAAACTATCGTTTTAAAAAACCAAAAACTATCGTTTTGCCTTATATTTTCTTCTTTGATAACAGATTTGCATGTTTGATAAAGGCAACTTTCTAAGAATAACGTTTTTAAATGTTGGAACCTTCTCTTACTGTCGTAAAACCTTTTAAAAGTCTAACAAACATTAAAAGTTTCTGTAAAACGAATTCCTATGCAGTACACTTTACAGTACAGTACACTTTATACAGTACATTTTACAGTACAGTACACTTTATACAGTACACTTTGCAGTAAACATTTATTTTAATAATTGTACCTTGGATTCGATGATCGTGAGTACTACAAAGGCTAGAGTCCAAACCCCGTGGAATATCTGAAAATAGGAACAATTGAATAATCTGTTTAAATTCAACATTTTTAAAGCATTTTGAAAACATTTTTTCAAGATTTTGTTCGCTAAATAAAATGTTTTTTTTTCTATCAATATCAGAGACATTTTAGATGATTGCAAAAAACGAAAAAATTTCACTGAAATACATTTATTTTCTGAAATGATAAATAAAATGCGCCAACTTTTAAGTGAATGGTTTCTGTTTATTGTTCTTTTTTGTCATTTTCTCAGTGACTTTTATATTTGTTCAGAAACTCTAATTGTGATGATAGAAAGGAAAGAATGATTTTTACAATGTTCTAGTGTTACAATAAAGAAACAAGAACAATCTTTTAAATCTAAGCACCATGTGGGGCAATATTTAGCAACCTTTTATATGGAATTTAGAAGGGGACAGAGAGGGGTTGACCTAGAGAATAGATAATTCTTGTTGCTTTAAACATTCTACGTATTCATATTTGTATCTTTAATCTTTAACAAAACAATAGGTTTAGGTCCTTGTAATATTGTTTTGTTCCAGCTAATCTATTCTCATTACAAGCACAGTACGAGCCTAGTTAATAATAAATTAGTTACTGTGTTTTTAATATTAATTACATGGGTGAAGGATGCCCTGTAGGAAAACAAAGGGTTGATCTTTACCACCTATGCTACTTTAGAATTTAATCTTAAACTCAGTACATCTTTATTTGCCATTTAAACCATACGCGCATGTGATGAATATTACATTTTGAAATCATCTAAAATTTTTCTTCAATTTGAAATTCTTAAATTTGGCACCCATAGGAAGGTTAATATTCTTCACAACCAATTTCTCCCGGGTTCTTAACTATGCAAAATATCAACAATTTTTGTTGATTTCTTCAACTTCCCGAATTTCCCCCTACCCACATTATCTCGACCATTTATCTCTCTATCTATATGTCTATCTATTTCTGTGGTCCGGTAGAAAGTGAGAGTTCTCTGAAGCTGGTTTAAAGATTATCTTTCAATCTATCTCAATATGTCCATTCTCTGTCCTAACATATCTATTCAACAATCTATTCATCTGCCCTACCAAAAAACTGGTCTAGAGAAAGTAAAAGTGGCCCTTTAAACTTAAAACAGACACCTTATGCATTTTGCAATTGGACTTCAAGTTATCGTGAAAAATGTCACAAAATACTGCATGGTATATTTCATTATGAATACTGTATTCGTTTAAGTTTTACTATTATACATCGGAAAAAAATTGCGAGAGTTAGTTGATTTTTTCTAACCTAATTCGTAGATTCTGAACATTAAAATATGTGTTAACTCCTAATAAAGGTTCTGAAATCTAAATTATGTACAATCTGTTTAAATTATCAATATTTTTAATTGAAATGTTTCAACTTTCCCTTTCATTGTATCACAACTGCCGTAAAATTTACCAACTCATCGTTCTCTCATCATTAGACGAGTATTCATTCAATTTAGGAAAAATGACGAGAAAGATGTGAATCTTTTTTTATTTTTAAAAAATGTGAACACAATAATCTTCCTCTCATTTGATTTCATTTCTCTAATTTTAGGTTTTTGCCAATTTTGCTTCCAATATATCGTATTTTTCACTAAATCCAATTCAAATTTGAGAATTTTCCCCCTTTTGGTGCGAATTTCATTTAATTTCCAAATCCTTACAAGACAAATATTAATTCCTTGAACATCTAAGATTGCCACGATATTAAATAAACGTATTTTAGACCAAGTAAGAACACGTTTAAGACAAATTCAAATGTTAAACGCGAAAAAATACTTGGATAGATGAGTCAATGGTAGTTTATTGAGATTGTTTGCTTATGTATATTATCTCATGAATCTAATTCTTAAAGAAATTTGAAAGTTTTAATAATACAAATACGCTTTAAGTTCTAAAAATTATTAAATGAAGTAATCACGCGGTCCTATTACAAATATTTATCCAAATATAAACATGAATTTAAATTAAATTATCTTCCTAAAACGCGTGCCCGCAGGCCCATAACCAGGGGGGGGGGTGCAAGGGTGCAGGTGCACCCCCCTCTCTTCTGAAAGGGGGTGCAATGACGAATTTGCACCCCCCCCCCAGTCCCATATAAAAGAAATTGTTTCTCATAATTTTCTAAAATCTAGTTACAGTTTGAACAGTTGGTTAAAAGGAAAAAATTCATCCATTTAATTTGGAATATAATAGCCATTTTTGGGAGTTTCAAAACCATTATTTTAAGCGAGGATATTTGTCATTTTTAATCAAAGTAGAAGGGGTTTTTTGAGTACTCAAAAATTCACTAAGAATGTCTCAATGTCTCAATGTCAATAAATAAACTCTTTTAAACAAAATATTAGAAATTTTATTTTTTATTCATCTTCATAATATCATGATGAGGCCGAGGGACAAGAAGCCTTGATTTAAAATAATGAATTTTTTCCTTAAGCTAAAGTACCATTCATTTATTTTTTATGTACATTGTATATGTAAACTGAAAAGTTTCAGACACTAAAATGTAACCCTTAAAAGCTTAAATACACTTGTTAAAAAGGTTAGTCTTTATAGCGTACATTGACAATGTAATAAAGAAAAACTTTTACCACTGTAAAACAAACCAAGCATTGCTTTTAAAAAAAAAACTGAAAAAATTTTTCCCTGCGCCGCGCTACTGTGCACCCCCCTGGAAAAATCCTGGTTACGGGCCTGTATGCCCGAGCACTAGAATCGATAAATCTTTCAAAGAACGTTTTAGATATAAACTATGCAACCTCAACAAAAAAATATGGTTTATAATAGTTTAAAAACCAATATATTAAAGTAAAGCGACAAATCCTAAATGTGCAGTCTATATTATTTACAGCATGGACAGAAAAATGTGTAAAATGTAAAAAGTTTTTTTCTTAAAAATTTCATTTCTCTTCATTTTCTCACGCAGATTTCATGGGAATTATATGACCCCATGAAGCATCCACACACAAATTATTAGTGTATTGTATTCATTTCCAAACCTACCGTTCAGAAAATAATCAAACATGAAAACTTTAAATATTTACGAGTAAGAGTATATTTCCTTATTTTCCCATACAAATATATTTTTCCGGGAACCAGATTTTACGAAAAGCGAGATGTAGCTGAACCACGCAGACGCAGAGAAGTGCTCTTGTGCACCGGTTCAAGCTAAAGAGTTATGGTTGAACCATGATATTCAAGATCCAATTTTATGATTTTCTTCTCAGAATTCTAAAAACCATTTTATGCTACAGGGTGCAAAAACAAACTATTTAATTTCTTGTGTTTGCAAACGATTGAACACTCTGATCTAAATAAGATAATGAGGTAAATACCTATCATAAGGCATAATCATAAATTTTTTTTCCGTTAGGTTTATATCTAATTATATTGTTATTCGAACTTGTATGTTGTTATGATGTTGCTTTGTTGTTTTGTTAGTGTCTAGTATTGTTAAATAAACCATATCTGGTCAGTAATTGTTCCTTTACTTCATTCTCGTTCTCAGCCCTGAGTAAACCGCAAAGCTGTCTACTTGTACAATGTTTGAGATTGCTTGTTTATAGATGCAGGATTTTAAAATTAAAAATCTAATTCGTTATTTATTAATTTTACAAGAATAAAAATAATATGGCACTAAAATAAAAAAAAAACTTTAACAATAGAAGTGCGGCTCAAAGCACCCTGCACAATTTTTCAGGAGACCGTAATCATGAACATTCTGTTATTCAACATCTTGTTGAGGGAAGAACAATACTTATTGTATTGTCTCCTTATACATACTTTGAGGTGGAGAGGTACTAGTGTAAAATATGCAGCTCTATGTATATGAATTTATCTGATGGATATATCACCCAATCTGATTTCAATGTTCTTTAATATTGGCATACTCTACATAATGTAAAAACCTAATATCTTTAATTAACCTAATATCTTTAATTCAACTAATAATATCCCGCCATTTTTATTGTATTGTGTAAATTACAAGAAATAAACAAAAGATAATTTGAAATAGATTAAACTTAATTTAAGTGCATTTTGATCAGTCGAGCAGTTCCGAACCGTTGAATGAAATATTCAATATGCTTTATAAACAATACATTTACTAATTATATATTAATGTTTATTCTATAGCCCCAGACTAGAAATGATTATTATTTTTCTGAAAATTTTTTTAAAAATCTATATCTTTGCAATGTTTAATTTTTTTAAATATATAAAGCTAAACTGTGAATTAAGTTTTTCTCCATTTAATTACAATTTTAAATATCAAAATTTCAAAATTTTATTGAAGCAAAAATAACGTATACATTGATTAATGTGTAAAGCGTCAAAATTTTGTGAATGAACAAAATGAAAAAAAATTTGTTAATGATCTGATATTGTATTCTTCTGTTTTTACCTGCAAAGACAGCAGAGATGTCAGGCTAAAGTACTGATAGGTGAGTGCAAGAAGAACCATTTTGCTAGCGATCAATAATATCATCCAGGACATTAGAAATCTTCTCCAACTGAACTTCGTGTGAAACCATCTTAATAAAAAAACCTTATCAAAGAATGCTTTACATTAATGCACACAACTAACAATAGCACTTTTAAAAATTGAGATAAAAATATGTTGCATTGAAATGTAAATGATCTACAGATCAACAAATGTAACCTTCATCTAAATCAACAAAATATGGAAATGGTGTGTTAGTTTATCTACAGACTGTTTAGAAAAAATCAATATCTTAAAGGGACTGTTAAGGTAAAATGAAATTGGGTATAGGCTTAAGCCTAACATTTTTAGGAGTTTATCGCGATTAAAATTATTCTCGAGGAGTTTTTGTATAACTCTGACAAGTTTTATATCAATTTCTCGAGACTCGACAGGGACATTAAATAGAACTAAAATTCATTGCGATCAATTCCTACAATTTTTAGGCTTCAGATTTTATTTAACCTTAACAGTCCCTTAACCGTTCCTTAACCGTCCCTTACAAATCTTAAAATTATTAAAACACGTTTAACGATTCTTAGCACAAAACACATCATTTATACGGTTAGTATCAAGCAAATATGACAATTTTGTGTTCCTTTTATTATTTTTAGAAAGACACATACACTACTGGTATTGAATATTTCTTATTTGGTTTAATATCTTTAAATTGTGAGAACTTTGTCAATATAGTCATGTTCCCAAAGAGTGTACGACATTTACAAACAAAGCGTAAAATCTGCACTGTAAATATGTCTGAAGTTCAATGGTGCAACATTTTACATCTTTAAAAACTTTTTAAATAGTTTTTAAATAATAAATGAAGAAAACGAATGAATTTTTCTTTCAATAAAAATGAAAATTAAAACATATAATGCAAAAAGTATGAATTTACCTGGCAATGATTTTGGCATGTGAAGAAAAGATTTCTTGAAGTTTTGGCTGAACCTAAAAAAATAAAATTTAAAAATTGGATGTCGCCCGAAACAATGTTGAGATGGTGAACCATTTATATTTTTTCTAGGCTTTTAAATTAGGAAATGAATATGTTGTTTCTTGTTTGAAATTGCTTCGTATAGCGCTTTAGATTAAGTTATCAAGTTTCAAATTGTTGTTGTGCGCGGCACTGAATACGGATGTTGAATATGCCTGATTAAATAATAATCGTTACAAAATCATTACATGAGCTTCTGATGCCAAACAACAATTATTCAAAATATTGGCCCGGCAGTTGTTTGATACCACTATCTTAGACGTATTCATATCAGTACATAAAGCTGCTGTGAGGCAATTTAAATTAAATGTTATAACTATTTGATTAAGTGTCGCTAGCGGAACAATTGATAATGTGAAATATCAGATTATGTAATACGGACAACATTTTCTCTTTGCAGCTGCATGATACTTTAAATATTAGACTGCTGAATTAAGAAAAACTAAAGTTCAATTGTACCGTATTAGGTATATAAAGAGTTCCATGTCAGATTCACAATGGTACCCTTTAAACCTTTGTCTGAGAAAACAGAAGAAATCATTTCTTTTCTATCTAAAATTTTAAAAATGTCAGATTCTTTACAAAAGTCCGCAGTTTAATGAATTTGACGAATTTTATGATAGAAAAACAAAGAAATTCAAGGGTTTAATGGGAAGTGTTTGAATTGGGCAGATAACTCTTGGAAAACTACTTCGACAATCTCTTTAAGGTTTGGATTTATTACCGGCAAACTATGCTTAAGGAAAGGTTTGAGTTAAGGTTGACAGTCCTTTTAAACTTTCGCTTAATAGCTTTATATTTCATTTTATGCATACTTTATTTACCTTCTTTTCAAATCTTTGTTTGATTTCTGGCACTTTAAGACTTGTGAGCTGTGGTGGGGGACCCAACCTATGGGGGGAGGGTTTAGGTCGAGGAGTCATATTTATCAATTTTTTCACGTGTTCACAGTTCAAATCTTTATTATTGACGCATCCCGGCGCGCGTGAATATACACGCGCGTCAAACTCACTGGTTGATTCACTACTACTAGCAGCGTAGTTCGAATGTACGGGCTCACGGTGCTAGCGTGCACGCAATCTTCAAACACATGCTTGCAATAAACCAGGGGTGTAAAATCTTTCTACTAAAATTTGCTCACAATCAAATGGTACTCATCAACCCCAAAAGCCCGTTAATTTTATCAATTATCTTTTTGCTAAATATATTTTACGAAGAATATAATATCGCGAAGGAAGATGTTGATATATACATAAACACGACTTTGAATTTAATTTTAAATATCCTAGTTTACGCATAAATTTTCATTTAACGTATATTAAGTATGCTACATGTTTTTGTATAAAATAGTTTGTATTACAATCTATTTCCAATAGTTTAGAATATTTTAAGTTTTGGCGAATGAATAAATTTTTTAATCAATCTGCAGTGCAGAGTAAATACAACCTTACCACCCCTCTCCCAACCCTTTAATAAATGCAGTTTGAACATACCTATATAAACTACGTTGTACATTGTCTGAGGATCTAACTGCGTTAATCATTGAATACGCGCAAAACTTGTAATAATTAATATTTACGCTTGTGTACCTGTGTGGCATTTAGAGCATGAGTAATAGCTTGCGTGATAGCTACGCTTGTGTCCCTGTGTGGCATTTAGAACCTGAGAAATAGCTTGCGTGATAGCTACGCTTGTGTCCCTGTGTGGCATTTAGAACCTGAGTAATAGCTTGCGTGATAGCTACGCTTGTGTCCGTGTGTGGCATTTAGAACCTGAGTAATAGCTTGTTTGATAGCTACGCTTGTGTTCGTGTGTGGCATTTAGAGTCTGAGTAATAGCTTGTTTGATAGTTACGCTTGTGTTCCTGTGTGGTATTTAGAGCATGAGTAATAGCTTGCGTGATAGCTACGCTTGTGTCACTGTGTGGCTTTTAGAACCTGAGTAATAGCCTGCGTGATAGCTACGCTTGTGTCCCTGTGTGGCATTTAGAACCTGAGTAATAGCTTGTTTGATAGCTACGCTTGTGTTCTTGTGTGGCATTTAGAGTGTGAGTAATAGCTTGTTTGATAGCCCCGCTTGTGTCCCTGTGTGGCATTTAGAACCTGAGTAATAGCTTGTTTGATAGTTACGCTTGTGTCCCTGTGCGGGATTTAGAGCCTGAGTAATAGCTTGTTTGATAGCCCCGCTTGTGTCCCTGTGTGGCAGTTAGAGGCTGAGTAATAGCTTGTTTGAAAGCTACCAATATCGCGTCCAGTGGTATAGTGGCGTTGATAGTTTGCGGTGGATTGTGTCCTGGTTGACTTTGATAGCGGACGGGGTTGGGACGAACTTTTTTTAAAATCTAAATATTTATTTAAATCTGGTAGTTTAACATAAATATTCAGAGGCGCACCTAGAAGGGGGGGGGGGGTGCGCCCTCCCCTTTTACCTGAGAGGGGGGACCCCTGCAGAATGAAAAGAAAGATTGGTGAATATCAGTATCACAGGAGTCAGGAATAATAAAACCAAAAAAGTTATTGTGGAAATTGTATCCTACTATTGTGGAAATTGTATCCTACTATTGTGGAAATTGTATCCTACTATTGTGGAAATTGTATCCTACTATTGCGGAAATTGTATCCTACTATTGTGGAAATTGTATCCGACTATTGTGGAAATTGTATCCTACTATGGTGAGTTTAAAAATAAATTTTTTATCTTTCTGAATTCTCAAGGCTAAAGGCTATTGTAAACATTTAATGTAAAAAAGTTCCGAACTGTATTTTGTTCGTGTTGAGCTATGAGGCCGAGAGGTCTTTTTCTACGCTCAGGAGGTTAAACACTTGGTTAAGATCAATCATGGGAAATACTAGACTATCTAATCTAGCAGGAATTCAAATTCATAGAGACAGAGCATAGTATCTAACAAGAGATAAAATTGTCAAGATCTTTGTAAATATGCATCCGAGAGTCCTAGAATATTCCATTGTTGAAGGACAGATATTGTTGCATTGTTCTTTTAAAGCACATTTTAATTCTCGTTAAAGGAATTAAATTTTTGCAACAAACTCTGATATTTGTTACCCTTTATCTTTGCAACCCAATGTCGTAGATTTCAAACTTTGAATTATTTTGGTTTGAATTATCAAAGGTTTACACCAGTCGGTGAAAAGATTTAGGGATTAGAAAATTTGAGTTTGTGGCAAAAACTCAGTTCCAAATCTAGAGAACATTCTGAGACTGAACTTGGCAAACTGATTATCATATTTGATAAATGTAACCTGTATATCTTCTTTGAAAGAACTTCTTTGAAATCAAAAATGAAATAAGATTATGAATGTTGGTTAGAATAATCAATCACAAAGGAATTGAGTTTTTGCCACATTTGCCAATTTTCTAATCTCTATAAATTCATGTATTCCTTTCACATTTTAAACATAGATTATTTGATCTAACAGAATTCATAGTTTGAAAAATTAAAGGTTTAAGACATTTGGATAAAACACATAGTGATTAGAAATTCAGAGTTTGTGGCAAAAACTCAATTCCTTTAATAACTTCAGGAGAAAACGTAACATTATCTGTCCTTTTTCAATGTAGATAATTAAAATTATATATGTATTTGATGCTTTTTTTTCTTCAGAATATATATACATGATTATTTCATGTAATTATATATCTGTAGCTAAACCAGGGACTTATAAATTTTCTTTGGCGGTCCAGCACACATTAAAAGAATTGATTGACTCATATCGTTAATTTAGCAGTTGTTGAAAGTATAAATTTTTAAAAACACAAGAAAAAAAACGATTTGAATTGAACACAGCCAAATCTGCATGCAACAACTGAAAATTTCCTTTTTTTTCGACATCAAACCCTTAAAAAAAGGACTTTTATTTTTTTATTTCTAGAGGGGGCCAATAAATTGTATTAAGTACATAGTAGATATGAACTCGGAAATAAAATCTGTTAACCGAGTTTCGATGAAATTTTAGGGTATTTCATTTTTGGCCTGGAATTTTCCGATCATAAATTTTAATAAATTAAAAGTTGCAACCACCGTAAAAATAAAAATATTAACGGGGTGCGAAAATACTTTGAAATTCCATCCTTTCTCGTTTATCTTGAAGTGCCGTGCTTGAAGAATATTTACGAGCTTTTTTTCAATGCTGTTGAATATCCGTTGAAAGCACAGGTTCCACAATCTAATAAAGTTAAATTATATTAAGGTGTTTGAGACTCCATTTTGAATTAAAACTGACAAAATGCTTAGATTCGAGACTATTAAAAAAATATCAATATAAAAACAAATCAATGTAAAACATCAACATTGAATCATTTAGAAATGTACGGAACTCATATTTTTTATATCTGTAAACATTTTTCTATATCGAGAAAGTATAAATTTATTTAGATAGGCAAAGAAATTTTTACTTGAATTATTTCTACAACTCTATTTCTTTTTTTTTGATGGGGGCAGCTTCGCACAAATTTCATCCCTATATTTTTTTGTATACGCCCTTGTAAATGATAGGATGATTCTGAAATTTGCTTCCCCATTAAATTAATAACAGAGCTCATGGATTCCAGATTTACAATATTTACAATCCAGCAATATAAACAGTTGCATGCGGAGTGATTATAATTTTCTCTCGCAACAGTTTTGCCCCAAGGATTAAAGTCGTTACGGTTATTATTATGCGCATGGATTCGTCTCTGATGCATTATCTTGTTAGATTATCCTCCAGTTGGTATCAGTCCAGATTCTGTTCTCAGTCCTTCTCGTGCCGATAACTTTGCTAAATAATAAAGGAATTGATTCTTTGCCGCAAACTCTGATTTTCTAATCCCAATATCTTTGGAACCCAATGTCGTAAACCTTTGATATTTCAAACTTATATTTTTTGATCTAACAAAAGTCATAGTTTGAAATTTCAAAGGTTTACGACGTTGGAATTAAAATATATTGGGATTAGAAAATTAGAGTTTGTTGCAAAGAGTCAATTTCGATTAAATACTTTAGACTGGGTCGCAACTTTTTTGTTGTTGTTTTGGAATGACATTTAAAAAATATAATTTAAGTTGCTAGATGTGTGTAAGATTTGCGTTATTACCCCGTAAGTTATTTAACACGAAAAAGAAGCTTTAAAATCTAGATTCGTTAAACATAAATTTAAAATTAGAAATTCAAATTAAAACTTTGTGCAAGTGCAATTTCGAGCGAGTTTAATGATCTTTAAGACCCAGGATATATTTTAGTCCGTTTATTATTTCGCTTTTTAAAACGAGGAAAAGCTTTAAACTATTGATATACGTTATTTGTAAAAGCTAAAACTTAAGAATACCGCATTTACTACAAGTTATGTTAGAATACTTTAGATGGAATTGAAATTGAAAAAAAATCTAGGAATCTAGATTATAAATTCAATTTTGATGGAATTTATCACACCTAATATTTCCCGTTGTAGGGTGATTAAGTAGCTTTATCGCCCTACAACAGGGCAATAAATTAACGTTTTCACACTGCTATTAAAATTTCAAATTTCATACCTAATGTGTATAATTGTAGGGTGATAAAGTTACTTAATCACCCTACAACAGGGTGATAAAGTAACTTTTTCGACCAGGGGCGTACGAGGGGGGGCCGCGCCCCCCGCCCCCCTCTTTGCGTGCCCCACTCTGAGAGGCTGAGGGGGGCATCCATGGGGGAGGCTCTTTTAATATTACATCTGCTTGCATTTCCCTTCCTCAGGTCAGGCACAGTGGTGTACCTAGGGGGGGGGGCAGTGTTCTCTTGCCCCCCCTGGGAGTTCCAGAAATACAAAATTAAAAGGAAACTACGTTTAGAAAGTAACACCTGACAATGACAAAGACTAAGGATTTGTCTAAATTCACTGTTAATACAAGGAGAGAAAAGTTTTAGCCTTCTAAAGAGAATACTTCTTTACGCAAGATGTACTATGACGGAGAGCAGACTTAACGATCTTGCACTTATAGCCTGCTTTACACCCTATAAGGCTGTCTGAGCTCTCTACTGAAAAAAATCATTAAAATGTTTGTGCAAGCAAATCCCAGAAAATTGTAGCTTAAAGATTTGGTTAAAATGTAGATTAGTAAATTCTATCTAAAAATTTCAGAAGAAATTTCGTTTATTCGTAAAAATATAATTTTTGATGATGCTGTGTTTATTGATTTAGTTAGCTGTGATCAAGAAATATATAGACCAGGAACCGCCATATCTAATGCGTCAAATTTGTGTACTGCAGTGGGAGGCGATCAAAACAAAGAATTCAGGGGCAAAACATCATTTATAAGGGGGGGGGTGAAATAAAGTACATTGCTATCGTAGACACGAATACTGATTATAAAACGAAAGACTATTTGTTACTTGAGAGTATATGCTTTAAAGACAGGAGAGGGAAATGATAATATCCAAGATTATATTCAAATTGTAAAACTTTATAT